AAAAAAAAAAAAAAAAAGAACTGAACTGGAGACACAGAAATGTCCTTGGGCTGCCTTATTGAGTAAATATGGTGGCTGTGTGATGAACTCTTCTCTGACCAGGCAAGTTCATGGCCACGAATGTATTGTTTGACTGCTACATTAGAGTTGACCTCAGGGGCTACAGATACGAAAAGGACTTTTTACAGCTTCACTCCATGGTCTTGGAGTTCTAGCCTTTCCACACTGGTTCCTGCTTTGTATAGCTCTGTGCTTGGTCATCCTCATGTCTTCCCAGGATCTACGTCTGTGATGCCTCCTAGCCTTCCTCCATCTTGAAGGCTTTTTTCTTTACCAATTGTAACCTAGAACAAAACAGATAGACTTTGTTCGACAACACTAGCGTGCTCTCCTGCCACCCAAGCAAAGCGCAAGGGTGTTATGATAGCTATAAAAATTGAATTGATCACTTTAGTCATTATGTGAGGAGATGAACATTCTATCAAGTGACATTTTATTATGTACTTAGAAAAAATTCATGATATTATTAGAAATGTATTTTGGGGGCTGTAAGCCAGCTGGGCCTCCAAACCAGATTTGGAACATCCATTTCTAAATTCTTTGCTAGCCTTTTAATCCAAACAAATATGATCCCCCATGCAATGTGGAAGCTACTCCTTCATGGTAGCTTCCTTCCAGTCCAGTCTCCACTCTGTAGCTGGACTGAGCTTTGCAAAATGTGGACTTTGTGACCTCATCTCCTCCACTAACGGTTTTCCATGTCAGCCTCACCTTGAAGAATTCTCCCTTGTTATCTGTTCAGCCAGAACACTCTTCTTGTCATAGCTAGTTCCTTCTAACCCTCAGTTCCCAAATCAAGTGTTACTTCCTGTCCATTCCAATTCAAGCTGGTATTCATTATTATTCTCTGTCTAGAATATTCATACAGATAGACACATCAGAGTAAACACAAAGTACTTCATACTTTAATACTCGTTAATACTCATCATACACATTGGTTGTTTAGTAATTAATTAATATACATCAAAGGCAACCTTGCCAGTTGACTTCAGTTAAACTCTGTCAACGGCCACTCCAGGGCTGGAACAAGGACACGTGAATGTAGTAGCCATGGTGGCAGAGTTGGCGGTTACACCTGGGCCCAAAAGCATGAACTGCGTTTTTGAGGGCTGCTCTTGCCACCAGCGCTGCTGAACGTCCACTCTTGCTGGGCTTCCCTTGTGACTGAGTTGCTCAAGGAAACCAATCAATGACTTGGTGAGATGTTGACTTAATCAGGTTTCTTCCATCGTGAAGGGCCAGCAGTTCACTGTTAGAGGAGGAGACACGTAGCCCAGGTACAGGTTTGTCTTTCCCGCTCATAGGAACTTGGCTGGCACCACTACGAGAAGGGTCGAGGCATGCAGTTCTTGGTGTGTGGGCACAGAGTCGCACATCACACCACATCAAGCTGCGAGCTTCACTTTGCAGTCAATGAGGAGCAGAGATGGGCCCTGAGCCCATGGTCTACAGGTGGCATCACACGTGCACCCCTCAGAAGCTCCCAAGAGTACTTCGTGGAGCAAACACTCAGTAAGCGTGGGTGCCGCCTTCCAGCATTAACATGGGATCACCAGCATCCCCAATAGGGAGACTGCGTGGGTCCAAGGACCACAGGTGGAAGCCGGAGCGACCCCCTGGCCATCACTTCCAGTGACCCCCGGGAGCTTTCCTTCTCTTACCTTGTAACTCCGGGCCCTGCAGAGTTAGACTCTCCCCTCCTCAAAGAGGGCACACTCACCTGGGGACCTACCGAGAGCATCATTGGATTAGCACTCTGTTCCTTGTCTCCAGGTGCAGCAGACAAGGAGAGGATCTTGGCAGAAGTAAGGTAGGAGAAGGGAGGACTATTGTTACACGATGGTCAGGAAAGAATTGCCTGGAGCCTGGGAAACCCCTTGGGTTCCTTTTGATGCCTCCTTGGTCACTCGTGATTTTAAAGAAACAGGTGCAGCAATTCCATCTGTTAAGGGCATGTGTCTTTGTCAGTCTGGGCTGCTGTCACAAAATAGCACAGACTGGGTAGATTAAACAACACTGACTCCTCACAGTTCTGGAGATTGGGAAGCCCAAGGGCAAAATGCAGGATCATTTGGTGTCTGATGAGGGCTCTCTTACTGGTTTGCAGACAACTACTGTAGCTGTAACCTCACATGGTGGTGGTGGACAGGTGGGATTCTAGTCTCCTGTTCATATAAGAACACCAACCCCCCCCCCCCCATGAGGGTCTTACTCTCATGCATGCCTTCATCCACATCTGATTCTTTCCCAAATGCCCCAATTTTTAACACTCTCATATTAGGGATTATGATTTCAATACATGTGTTCTAGAGGGACACAAACATTCAGTCCATAGTGGCTTGCTGACCCAGGCTCAGACCCCATGGGGATGAGGATCTGGGTGATGTCAACAGGAAAGCTACTGAGACCTGGAGAGGTGGTATCTATCTAAAGGGAATGAGAATCTAGCAGGGGGTCCCAGTCCATTTTCTGTTGCTGTCACACAATACCTGAGATCAGGGATTTTCTAAGGAACAGAGGTTATCGAGCTCACAGTCACAGGAGCCAGGAAGCCCAAGGGCATGACGCCAGCCACCTGCCAGGGCTTTCTTGCTGAGTCATCACATAGTGGAGGCATCAGAAAGGAGCTAGCTCAGGTCTCTTCCTCTTCTTATAAAACCACTCACGCTATCATGAGGACCCCACTCTCAGGAACCTGTCTAGTCCTAATCACCTCCCTAAGCCTTCCCCCACTTTCCCGATACTAACAACGACAGAATTTGGGGACTAAGTTTGCAACAGGCGAAGCTTTGGGGGGTACATTCAAACACAGCACCGGGTAATGGGGGAAGAGGACAAGAGTATTTGCGTTGGTTCCTCCACTCATTGCAGCCATGTGCACTGAAGTTCGTCCTAACCCCCTCCTCTAAGTTCGCCATCAGGAAGAGAGGCCCAATGACTTTGCAGGAGATGGCGCACGGGGCCTCAGAAAGAAGTGGCCTGGAGTGACGCCGAGGGTTGACTGCGGGGAGATGCAGAGGTGAGTCACCCAGTCTGTCTCCAAGGAAGGGCCTGCCCCTAAGATGTGACAATGCAGCCAGCAGCCAGCTGCCAGCTGCCAGCCCTGCAAGGTGGCCCCAGCTGCAAAGGTTACGCCTTTCTGAGACAGCCACCATCTGGTGATGGAACAGGGCAAGAGTGTGAAGACCTGAACATTTCTGCCCCACGTGGTACAACCCTGATGGGCAACTTCTGCCCAGGGCTTCCCGCCAAGCTGGCTGAGGTTTTTGGGGGCTGCACCACAGTTAGTTTCTCTCTTCGCTTAGTCTTCTTTCTTCCCCCTTCTTTCCACTGGCATTGATCCTTAGTAAGTGTCTTGCACCCAAGTTTGTCTGCATCTGCTTCCAAGAGAACCCACCGTGCTACCAGCTGTGTGCTTTGGAAGCAAGGAAGTGCTTGGTTTGGGGAACATCATCTCATGCTCCGCAACTTCCATTTCCTCATTAGTAAAACAGGGATAAGGTTGGCTTCCAGGGACGTGTGAGCCTTAGATGAAATGAGTGCATAAACCATTTGGCACAGTGCAAGGCCTGCAACACTGTTCCGTATGAGGTGACTTCAAAAATTCAGAGAAAGATGGAGATAAAAGATGCTTATTTTGTGCAAAAAAGAGTGAAATCCCTGTATGTATTTTTTCATTAACTTGTTGAAGACCCTGGGTGTGTGTGTTGTGGTTTGCTATTGTTCTGAAGAGTGGTTCCTCGGCTCACTAGGCTAATCCTCTGCCTGCGGCACCAGCACCCTGGATTCTAATCCCAGTTGGGGTGCCAGATTCTTTCCTGGTTGTTCCTCTTCCAGTCCGGCTCTCTGCTGTGGCCTGGGAAGACAGTGGAGGATGGCCCAGGTCCTTGGGCCCTGCACCTGCATGGGAGACCAGGAGGAAGCACCTGGCTCCTGGCTTCAGATCGGCACAGTGCACCAGCAGTGGCGGCCACTTGGGAGGTAAACCAATGGAAAAGGAAGACCTCTCTCTCTCTCTCTCTCTCTCTAACTCTGCCTGTCAAAAAAAATCAAAAAAAAAATAAATAAATAAAGAAGATCTGTGAAGGGAACTTGACCAACACCCAAGTGGACAGACAGAGGGCAAAAAAAAAAAAAAAATCAGAGAAAGATGGAGATAAAAGATGCTTATTTTGTGCAAAAAAGAGTGAAATCCCTGTATGTATTTTTTCATTAACTTGTTGAAGACCCTGGGTGTGTGTGTTGTGGTTTGCTGTTGTTCTGAAGAGTGGTTCCTTCCTTCAAAATAGACAAGTGCCCAAGCTGACAAGGCTTGGAGCTTCTCTGTCGACGAGAGAGATCTGATTTGCTCTGTTTTCTGGCCGCGCTGTTGACACAGTCATGCCTGATTCAAACACAGCACACAGCGCAAGACCAGTGCCTTTGAGTCTGTCTCACAGCCACCCTTGGGGAAGGTCTAGGTTCCAGTCCCATCTTCACCATGCGGACACAGAAACTCACAGAGGCCCATGAACGGGTCTCAGGCCCCGGAGCCCGGACGCAGGGCAGGGAGACGCTGAGCCCCAGCAGCCCAGGATGAGAACCCGTGCTCTTCTCACGGCAGCCTACTGCGTCTCGAGGCGGGGGCTTTCACAAAGACCCTGTGGCAGATGAGGAATCCTGCCTCCCACCTGCCGTTTTACTTGGGACAGCCTTCCAGAATGAATTTTTCTGAATGGGAAAGAGGAAGAGGATAAGGAAAACATCACCTGCCTGCAGATGAGCTGAAGTTCATGACCGTTTTCGAAAGCCCTGACGGAGGGAGATTCCAACACCCCTGTCTCCCAAGGGCCAGGGGGCCAAACTCTGGGAACCACCCTACCAGAGGGAATAGTGGCAAGATTGAGATGCTTGATGATATCAGCTGCCTTGCAAGTTCCAAGTATTTGCAAATAATTAACTCAGCTTTTCCAACATATCTTTATTTGCTTAAATTAACAAAATATAGGAAACATGCTATTTTCAGGTAAATTACCTTTTCAAGGAAGCAGAGAGCAATATTCACAACTTGGGTTGCTATACACTTGGCATTTTAGTTCTTAAATAGCAAGCCAGAGTTTTGTACAAAATCAACATTTGGCATTATGTTGTCCAAATACGCAAAGGATTTTAAATGTTAGCTCTGTTACATTTTGTTCCAGCGAAGCAGACAAGGATCATAATTCGAAACACAATGTTAATATTTTATTAAATGCCTTCAGGGCTTAATAAATACAGTATGCACACTGAGTTTCCCACGCAACTACTCACATACAAACATGCCAGTTCCTCTCGTGGGCTTCAGAAAGGTCAGCTCCAGGCTCATGGGGAGTCCAATTTTCACAAAGAAAGAATGAAAGGGGAATTGAAAAGTAGCAGGGAGAGGTGATCAGAGACCAGAATGAAAAGGATCATAGAAAAAAAAAATCTGCCACTTGGCTGGTTCGCTGGCCTATTCAATGTGACAGTGGCCAAAAGCCTGAAAAGTATTTGGTAGTGACCTATTTTCAGAGTGTCACGACGTGGTGAATGGCAGGCTGTCCTGCCCGGGAAGCGCCAGTCACCTTGAATGGCTTCAATTCCTTAGTGCTCCGAGGATGGCACCTGCTTCTTGATGATCAGCTCACCAGGCCAGGTTGCCAACCCTTCCCTTCACTTTGCACTCATGCGTGGGATGCCCTTGTCATGTACCATCCAAATGGGACACTTTTCAGGGCTGAGATGACACGATTAGCAATTATCTTGGGACAGCCACTATAAACCAGGAGGGTCCTGGGCAAAGCAACATGTGGCTGGCTCGACCACTCACAAAACCGACGTCAGCCTTGGTTCTCAGGTGCTCAGTGCTGTGTCAGCCACCAGTTTACAGCTGATGAAGTCTCTCCTACTCAGAGTCGAAACCCAACAACAAAACCCGACAACCGGCCTAGGAACACTCTGCTGACTAAGAAACTTGTATTACTTTCCCCAGACCTTTCTCCCCTCTCCAAACAAAAATTTACTGGGGATAACTACACACACCAGGCTGCAGCTCCCTGAAAGAAGTGGACACGGGGGCTGAGAGTCCCCTCCAGCAACTCTGCAAGAGTCTAAGAGGGACCACAGGTCCTCAACACACAACTCTGCAGCCAGCATTCCAGACCTGACTGTCCCCTGCTCAGCACCCATCCCCAGAGAGAGAACCAGGGCCGGCACGCTGGGTTTTCCTGGCCCCTGTTCCGCTAGGCAAATCCAGAACCAGTGGGAAGTCTGCAGCGTGGACGACCCTGCACAGCACACAGTAGGTCCTTCAATGTGGCTGCTGAATGGAGAAAGCAGCAGCAGGACCCTGAGGGCTGGAAGCCTCGCCAAGCCCCCTGCCAGCATCCTGGAAGATTCCCCTGGGGGCCCTGATGGACCATTAGTTACAATGAACAGACACTGGGACCTGGAGAAGCCCTGTGGTGGGCCACGAACAGTGGATTGTTCTGTGTGTGTGTTTCAACATGGCCATAATAAAAAGGGTTGTGAAGTCTTTACAAAGGGAACTTGCCCCCTCTGAGGACCTGGGAGAGGTTCTAGGTCAGGCCATGCTGAAAACTGCAGAACCAACAGTGTTGGCTCCACCAGCCTCTTGGCAGGGGCTGTGGCCTCAAGACCCCAGTGGGATGAGGGTGGGGGGTGGGGCAGCAGGAAGCCGCAGAACCTTTTGCACTTTGTGGTGGGGGAGTGGGGTCAGTGTGGAATATGGAGGAAGGCGCAGGAGAAACAGGTCTCCACTGCCCAGGCGCAGGAGATGGAGGTTGTGGGGTGGGGGTGGGGGATGCCGAGGAGCGGAAGAAGCTGGTGGGGAAACAGTTTAGCAGACAGCACAGGCACCCAGCAGCTGGGGAGGGACCAGGTCCTCTAAAGAAATGCACTGGGAAGTTGGAGGAGAGAGGAAGCAAAATAATAAACAGTACCTAGTCTAAAAATAAGAGCGGACACTGCCAACCAAGAGGCAGTTAGACGAAGTACCTACCGGGTCATTGCTTAGAGTCAGCCATGTGCATGCGGCCGGCAACCCCAGCAGCCGGGCCCCCTGCACAGTCCCCCTCCCTCCCTGCAACCAGGGCTCAAGCACCTGGAAGAACCCTCATGCAAGTGGCCGTGGCCTTCGCAGGCATCACTTCCTAGCAAGAAGTGTGCGCTACACAGGGTGGGCGTGTGTCCCCTCATGAGGCTCTCACTGGCAGGCGAGCAGGCAGTGGGATCGCTGTCTCCCCTCCTCTGCAGACGCCCTGAGCAGACCTGTGGCTGGAGTCTGTGGGAGGGAGGGTCCTGGGAGCCCCAGCCAGGGCTGAGTGCCTTTAGTCTGTCAATCTTTCCCAGTCCCTGCTGCTCCAAGGAACCCACACCTGGCAATGTGGATGCCACATTTTTTTAAGGCTCCCTGGGAGACCCCACTGTCAGGTCAGCCTTGAGAACACCGGTCCAGCCTTCCCTCTGAGTAAGGAGTGGTGGCCGGAACACCTAGGGCAAGTCAGAGCAGGTTCCTGGGAGGGCTCAGTCTCCCGCCCACCCCCAGCTCCAGCTCTGTCTGCTGGTGACACCTGTCCCTGCAGCTGCTCTGAGGCGCAGGCTTGCGAGCACGTGTGCGCGAGTGCACACACACAGCCTGCCCTTGGGGGAGGGCAGTGATGGTCTCCAGGAGGGAGCTCTGCTCTGGGGGAGGCGCCAGGACCTGGAAATGCTCAGGATGCCCCCTATGGCGGAGGCAGCTGAAGCAGAAGACAGGTCCGACCATTTGCAAGCACTGCCCACCGCCCTTTGGGAAGGAGGATGCAGGAAAGAGAATGTATCTTCTGTAGATCTCTCCCGTCTGCAGCCAGACCCTGAGAACATCGTCCCCAGCTCACCCTCCTGTGTCATCTCTGGGATTTCTGATGCTTTCATAAAGGCGACTTTTATGTACACAATAACTACTCTCCGCTCTCTGGACAAATACAACTGTCACAAATTCAGCTACATAGTTACAAGGTAACACATCAAGCACCACGATTTTGCAACTAGAAAGGAACTGCCCAGGTACTGCGTGTTAGTCAAGGGACAAGGGGATTTCGGAAAGCACCTGCTCTGGGGAGCTGGCGGGGGTCTCTAGCTATGCACAGTCATCGCAGGGGCGGCGCATGGCTTGCGAAGCCCCTGCAGTCCGAGGGAAGGTGCCTGCGGGTTAGTCGGAGCCCTTCCCCCACTGGTGACAAAGCGTGCAGAAAGCTACGTTTGAACTGCCCGCTTCTCCGTTTCCAAGTGTCATTTAAAAGCCGTCCACTTAGATCCCTAAAAGCACTGTTTGTTTTTCCATTTTCCTCTCCAGTAATTGTTTTAAGCTCTCATCTCTGTGCTTGAAGTATAAGTAATCAGAAAAAGAGGGGCCGCGCCGGGGGCCGGGGAAGGCGCGCAGGCGGGGCCGCTCGTCTCGGCGCGCCCCAGGCCTCTCCGGGCCGCCCTGTGCGCCCGCGCCCGGGTGCACCTGGCCCCGCGCCTCCGCATCCTCCTGCGGCGCGGCCGCGGCCTCCACCTCCACCTCCATCTCCGCCTCCACCTCGGCCTCGCCCTCTTCTCCCAGCGCCTCGGGGGCCTGCGTGGGCTCGGCCGGGGGATCCTGGGGCGCGCTGCGCGGCGGGCTCTGGGGGGCCGGGCCCGGGCTGGGGGACTCCACCTCGTAGCTCGGGTCGTCGTCTTCGTCCTCGCGGCAGGGGCTGCCCCGCGCGCTGTCCGCGTCCGACCGGAGGGCTGGCTCCTTGGCCCCGCGCTTCTGGGACAGGTCGAAGGGCTCCTCCTGCTCCAGACCTCGCAGTGCGCCCGCCGTCTGCGCCAGGGCGAGTCTGCCCCTTCCCAAACCTGCGGGAGCGGAGCCAGAATTGACGCATCGGAGAAAGAGCGGAGGAAGGGGGCCCTTGGGTGGGTACCCGGGGCCGTTGAACTCATTCTGGTTGTGTGTGTGTGTGTTTTTAAACGTAACTCCCAGTAACACGTTGGCGTGGGGGAGGGGTGTCACAAATAGTGTCTAAATCGGTGATATAAACGCTTTAAGGTGAATTTGGCAACGTGTACCAAAAGCCTCAGGCGTTAAGGTTTGACTCGGCAAGGATGCGCTGAGAATTCACACCTGCATCCAGGCAGGCAGGTGCGCGGGATCTCTGTGTGCGGGGCGCTCACTGCTGCCTTTTGCTTTTGTTACAGTGAGACTGCGACAGTGATTTTTCTATTGGAGGACAGACGTTTGATTATAAATAAATAACGGTCCATCCACATAGTGAGCTATGGGTAATGGATGTGGAAACCCACTAGTGATCATAAATAAAAAAGGTGTTCTCTGTGTATTTTAGGTTTTACAAAAACCTTCTTTATAATGCATCCCAGTTCTTCCTGTCTAGAAGAATGTATGCCAAAACCTCAGAATGGCTGAATCCTGAGAGAGTTTGTACATTTTCTTTTCACAGGAACATATTTTACTGTAAGGAAAAAAAATGAAGCGATGATCAAGAGGTGCCTTCGTGCTGGGAAAACCAGATTCCGTGCAGGCTGGGGAGGCCATTCTGCCATGGCGGCCCCTTGGCACGGCAGCTGCCTCGGCGGGGAGCAGTGATTGGAGAGGGGCTCCCTTGCAGGCCTGGGCTCCTCAGGGGCCAGCACACATACAAGGTAGTGTTTCATTTGCTCCATCTTCCAGGCACAGGGGATACGGAAAAGCAGAAGCAGGAAGAGAGTGGGGTGGGGGTGGGGGACCCAGGGTGCAGCCAGAGCGGCTTCTGGGTGGTGGGATGCTAAGAGGAAGTGGGGGGTCTGACTTCCGGCTGTGCCTGCTCCATGGTATTGTCAGCAGGTGATGATGCTGGGTCCTAGCTTGTCAGAGGACAGGCAGGGGCTTGTCGATCTTTCCTGTGATTCTGGATCCACTGCCAAAACTGGCGTGGAGAAAATGCTGACGCCCTTTGTAGGTGAAAACGCTAAAACCGTTGGAAGTCTGGCAGGCATGGGCAGAGCTCAAATGTCACCCAGGGTGACAGTGCCATCGGGAGCCTTTTAGGGCTTGAGTTTTAGGGGCAACTCATGGTGACCAGCTCAGGAATTGCTTTCCTTTGTTTTTGTATTTATTTATCTGACAGGTAGAGTTATAGACAGTGAGAGACAGAGAGAAAGGTCTTCCTTCAGTTGGTTCACTCTCCAAATGGCCAAAAAGGCTGGCGCTGTGCTGATCCGAAGCCAGGAGCCAGGTGCTTCCTCCCAGTCTCCCATGCGGGTGCAGGGACCCAAGCACCTGGGCCATCCTCCACTGCCTTCCCTGGCCACAGCAGAGAGCTGGACTGGAAGAGGAGCAACCAGGACTAGAACCCAGAGTCCATATGGGATGCCGGTGGTGCAGGCGGAAGATTAACCAAGTCAGCCACGGCGCCGACCCCTCCTTCATTTTTTAATAAGCTTAAACTTTTAAAAATTTTCCTTTGATCTTCCATGACTGGCTCACTCCCTAAATGCCCACAGCAAGCCAAGGCAGGAGTTGGGAATCTTATCTGGGTCTCCTACATGGGTGGCAGACACCAAAGTGCTTGAGTCACCACCTGCTGCCTCCCGGGGCAGGGTGGGGGTGGGGCACCAGCAGGCAGCTACATTGGAAGCAGAGCAGCCAGGACATGAACTCTGATATGGGCTGGGGGCACCCCAGCAGGGATCCTAACCAATGCCCCCAAACCTGTCCCCAAGGCAGGTGTCTCGACGGAGGACTAGTTCCTCATACACCATCTGCCCTATATATCTCCTTGGCAATTGAGCACACTTCACCTTCTGGAAAAATCCAGGCCTCGCTCAGGCAATTAAAGAATCAGTGAATAATTCAAGAGAAAAACATTCTCAAGGCAAAAACTGCTTTCATTTTTTTTTAAAGCAGAATAATGTCTAGTGTTTTGCCCAAACTCCAGCCCAGTTTTGCGCTGACCAGTTCCCCATCACCCAAGAGTCCCAGTGAACTTGGGGTGGGGTGAGCCACCTGCCACGCCCATTTGACAAGTGGGTGGGCAAGGGAGAAGCAGAAAATCAGCCCACATTTCTGCCTAGGGTAGGAGCCCGGGCTTGATCCACAAACTCTTGAGTCCGAATCCCACTTCTGCCTGCAGGTTTCCTGTTTGCCCTCGAGAAGTTTGTAAACTCCTGGAGGTGTTGCTCCTCTTACACAATTGGAGGATGGACACAGTCTCTGCCTTGGAATTGCAGGCGTGAGCAATAATGGCCCTCCAGTGTCTGGTCTCATGCTTTGATCATACTAGCTGTGGCCTGGGAAAGCAGCAGAGGATGGCCCAAGTGCTTGGGCCCCTGCACCTGCATGGGAAACCAGGAGGAAGCACCTGGCTCCTGGCTTTGGATTGGTGCACCTTCAGCCATTGCAGCCACTTGGGGAGTGAACCAATGGAAGGAAGACCTCTCTCTGTCTCTCTCACACTGTCTGTAATTCTGCCTGAAAATAAATAAGTAAATAAATAAATAAAAATCTTTTTAAAAAAATCAGTTAATGTGATGTTGCAAATTATATGTAAGACTGTCTTCTTGGGGCTGGCGCTATGACGCAGCAGATTAAAACCCTGGCCTGAAGCGCCGGCATCCCATATGGGCACCGGTTCTAGTCTCTGCTGCTCCTCTTCCAATCCAGTTCTCTGCTGTGCCCTGGGAAAACAGTGGAAGATGGCCCAAGTCCTTGGGCCTCTGCACCTGCGTGGGAGACCTGGAGGAGGCTCCTGGCTCCTGGCTTTGGATTGGCACAGCTCCAGCCATTGTGACCATCTGGGGAGTGAACCAGCAGTTGGAAGACCCCCCCCAACTCCCCGCTGCCTCTCCTTCTCTCTCTGTGTAACTCTGACTTTCAAGTAAATAAATAAATAAATATTAAAAAAAAAAAAGACTGCTTTCTCTCTCCACACATGGGCCTCCTAGAAGGTGAAGATGTCTCTACCGTTCAAGTGGTTCAGTGCTCTGGCCAGAGGTACATTTAGTGCCTGTTTGTTGAATGACTGCTTATGGAGATGGGTCAGGGGCAACCCCACTGAATTCAGCAGATCTCGGACATAAGCCCATGACTGCTAAGGGCACTAGGACTGTGGGATAAAGTAGCCAGAGCTTCTCGTTAGTTCTGTTAGGACTCAGAGCTGGGGGACCCATAAGCCTTTACTCTGCCCACGAGCTCCTCAGATCTACTCAAGCGGAACAATGGCCTTGGGTGTAGCTGGTGGTGGCCACAAGGGAGACCCACTTCTGCTGACAGCAGAGCTTGCATGTCTGTGTTTTTTAGCAGCAACACGGTGAAGTGGGTAGAGCAAAGAACACAGACTCAGAAAGGTCTGGGTTCGAATCCTGACTTGGCCACTTTTCAGCTGAGCATGCCTGGGGCAAGCCTCAACCCCCCTATGTGTCAAATAGAGATAACAGAAGTTCCTTTAGCCCCCAATGCAGGGTCCAGACCAAAGGACCAAACACCAGACAGCTAGCCTCATCCTGACATTCCACTTTACTCTCTCTAGTTCTCTTTCACTTGGGACCTCCAGAGAAAAGCAGCACACAGTTTGAGTAACATGGTAAACCTGCTCCTGCTGCTCTGCTGGGGTCCTGAAGCTGGTACTCCCTTGCTGGACAATAACTGCCCCTTCCCCTGCAAAGTCAAGTCCAACAGAAGCAAGCGCATCTCCCGTGGAACTCAGCCCCCCGAACTCAGCCCGGTGAGCTTCCTGGAAGGGTGGTTACCTTGGGAGTGAAGGCCCCGCTCCATGACCCCGTGCTTGACCTTCATGTGACGGGTGAGGTTCCCCTTGAGCGTGAACTTGCTCGGGCAGTACAGGCACTTGAAGGGCTTGCTGTCCGAGTGCAGGTGCATGTGGCCCATCAGGTTGTGCATGCGGTTGAATTCCTTCCCACACAGCTGGCAGAGACAGAGACGGGGAGAACACAGGTTATCACTGACCTGCGCCCACGGAGGGTGGGCATGCAGTGGCCCCCAGGGCTTCTCTCTATGTTTGGAGCTTGGCATTTTTAAACCACTTCCCAGGAAAATGTCCCCAGGAAAGCCAGGAAGGGGCAGGATTCTGCCGAGACTCAGAGGTGGAGCACACAGGGATAGATTCATGAGATGGCTGTTCCTGGTGTACAGGGATCGTCAAACTGGAGGTCAGCAGCATAGAACTTGTAAATCTTTTGAATGCAAGCATTGGGAAAGGGGAAGAGCTGGCCAGAAAAGCAGTTGGTGAAACTCTTGCATTTGATGATGAGGATACAACTATGCATTTGATATTTACGAAGCACTTAGAATACGGGAACCATTGTCCTGAGCTTGCCGTGGAATATCTTATTTGATCACCACATCAATCCTATGAGTTGGGTATCGTTATCATTTTACAAAATGGCAGACTGAGGGCTTAAAGTCACGTGACTTAAGGCGCCCACGACTCGGTGCTGGAGCTGGGGTCATGGACTCACACCGTTGCAGACTAGCAGCCACAGGGTCAACCATCATACACAACTGTGCCCTCCAGTAGAAGGCTCTGTTACATGGTGTTGAGCACTAAGTTTCTAAGCTTCTAATTTGCTAATTATGGGGCTGGATTTCAAAGTTAAAAGGAGCAAAGAGACACCTAAGGGAGGGGGGTGTCTTGTCTAGAAGTTTGAAGCAGTGAGAATATCATCTCGGATGGGCAAAATCAAGCATGTTTTTCTAATTTCTTCTTTATCGTCTCTCCCTATGTCCATGAAAGCGCAACTATGACAGGGCTTCTCTAACTTCTTTTGGGAGGGCAGCACCCTCTTTCAATGATGATTCCACATGGATGCAGAAACAGAGGCAGCTGTTTTGGGGGTGCTTAACCAAAGTCTCCAAGCCTTCATAAAACAGGGTTTGGAGAGACTCCTTCCTTGGCTGTGCTATGAAGAAAGCAAAGATGGACTTTGGGTTTGTGCTTGGACTGGGGCATTAATAAAGGCGCATTCTCCTTCTCTCCTCTCAGAGGTCATTGTGTTGGTGCAACAATGGAGCTGCTCCAAGAACTTGGGGGAGCAGCCTCCTCTGAGGCTTCACCAGTCTTCCTGTCCTACTGAGCTATACTTTCAGGACAAATGTTGGGGACTATGGATTGAGTTTTTATTAATGAAGTTCACATTTTCTGCAGGTGGCTATGGGAAGAGAGCATTGAACTTGCCTTGGAAGCATGAGTAGACCTTGCAAGTGGTGACTGGGGGAGATTCACCTGCAAGGAGGCTGGGTGGTAAGAGGAAGCAGCCCGCGATTGCACCACAGATGGACAGTGCACGGCTGCTTCTGTATTTTCGAGTGATTCATCTCTGGGGATTTTAAGTCCTTTATCCACTTCGCTTACTTCCTAGTTAAAATGAATTTGGTGTCTGGGTGTTCCAAGCTCAGCATTTAGAGTAATACACGGGACGTTCACCTGCACGTGGCGACCCTCAGAGGAGAAAAGAGGGTTGGCCTAATTCCAACTTCTCAAGGCAAGTGACACATGCAACAGATGCCTCTTTTTGCTCTCTCCAGCCTTAATTTACTCATTGATCATTTATCAATCTGTGGCTCAGGTCTGCAGATGTGCAAACATTCTGGCAGAATGCTATTTATTGCCTTAGTTTACCCATTGCAGTGTGGATAAGGAAAAACAGTTTGAATGAAGAGATTCTGAAGTACCTCCCTCAGTGGGTCATTTCTAGAAGAACAGCACCTCGCTCGGTTTGCAAGAGAGGTCCCGGCTATTGGGAGCGACGCAGTTGTTGGGCTGCTGAGCCTGCTCAGGACTCTAGACAGTGCCTGTTTCAGATCTGTTCTCACACGGTAGACTACAGCGCCCTGGACGGCTCTGCCTGTTCCTCCTGCTCCCTGACTGGCGCCAGCTGAATGCCTGACAGGTCCCCAGGAAGCATCTGCAGAGTGAGGGATGGGATGGGACCCATGGCAACAGAAGAACTAAGAGAAGTAAAAGCCACAGGTGGTTAAGCACAAGGCATACAGTGGGAGGAGCCGAAAGCTGGAAGACTGGCAAGGTGACCGCACGAGGCCAGGCTTGGATGGGGTCTCAGGGTCCCACAGTCCTCACTGCGAGGATGTGCTTAGCTCCATAGTGGGAGCGATCGCTCTCCCGACCACTAAGGGTGGCTGCTAAGCTATTAGAAGCTGGCCTGGTCTGAGAGGGCTTCGGAAGCGAAGCTTAACCTTCAAGAATGCACAGAGGGCCTTTGGTTGTCATTCTGACACAGGTGCAGTGTCTTCCTTAGTCCACCCTAGGAGAGGCAAGGGGACTGTCGCGGCGGTGGATCCGTGGGGTCAGTGCAGACCCGGCGTTCCACCTGACCCCGGGTCCCACCAATCACCGGCCACCCACCTCCGCACACAGAGGCATGTGCCCATGATAACGGTGGTAGGGGCCCTCACGGTGCCCAGTGGATCTCCAGAGCAAGGCCTGCCTCCCCTTTCTTTGTTCCAACCTCGATATCAAGCACAGGGCTGCACACAGAGTCTACTGAATGAATATCTAAGTGTCTGGTGAGGGGGAGAAACAAAAATATCATTCCTCACCAAAATTCTAAAAAGCATCCCTCCCCCCACCATGAACTTTTTCCTTTCCCTCATTAAACAAAGTCAGATCCTCGATGGCAGAAGGATGGGACCGATCCACTCAGGACCCTAACCCTGGGCGCCATCCCATCCCTGTGGCAGGTGCTTGGCTCCTTCCCCTGGCTCTTCCACACTAAGCACTGGGGCCCCTCTTCAGAACAGCTGTCTGCATCGTCTCATCCAGAAGCTCGTCTCCACGTGTCGACACCCAAGCCTCCAGACGACTTCAAGTCTGTGAGAGTCACAGGGAGACCTCAGACTCTGCATGGGGAGGAGCCGCAGCAAGCAGATGGGGCTGGCTGATGATGGCGCCCCGGGTTGGAGCTTGAGATGCGCCCTCCAAGCAGAATGGCTGCAGGAGGAGGGCCGGGAGTTAGCCTGGAGGGAAGAAGAATGGTTTGGAGAACCAGCTCTGCATCACCAGCTCTCCTCCCAAGCTCCAGGAAAAGTAGCCATTTAAGTCAAGACCTCCTGTAATCATGAGTTGTGAAGCTAAGAGCTTACCCAGGACAGGAGTTGCCGAATCATCTCCTACCAACGTCTGCAAAGATCAAAGTTGGGGTGGGGTTGGTGCAGGAAGACACGGATTTCCTGTGGCAGATGGTCATCTCAACCATGTGCCCTACTCGAACGTTAAATCTATCCATTGCTAAGAGGGAGGTGAACCTCAACATATAATAATAATAATAATAATAATAATACTTCACACTGCCCTTTAGAAATGGGTGGCAAGGGTTACCAGGCTCTGAGATGACAGAGCAGGGCGGTGACAGAGAGAACCCAGATGCCCAGAAAACTGGCTCGGTCTTCTGTCCTGTAAACTATGCATGATGATCCCAGTTTCTTAGGAAGGCTGTTAGGAGGGTCAAAGAGAGAGGTCATGGAAAAAGGCTTGGCAAACAGTAGGCACTCAATAATTATGAGCCCTTACTACTTGCGTTATTCTGCACATGGTAGTTGCGTTCACATTCCCGGAATGGATCCTTGAGGATGGGAGTGCCGTCCTTTTAAATCAAATTATTTGGAAAGAATATTGAAGAAAGAGGCCAGGAGGACTTGGCTGAGTAATTGCAGGCTTACTTGAGGCCCAGCAGAACTGCAACCAGGCGCTGGCGGGTGTGGGTGGAAAGGAGAGACTCGGTCTAGCCTGCAGGCCTGGGGAGAGCCCACAGCTGCCCCCGTCCTCAGCCTGCCCTGTCACGGCTGCCAGCTTAGCTGCTGTTTCACACCAGGTCTCCTGGTCTGGCTTCGTGGCTCCCTTTCCTCCCTGGTCCAGGGCACGATGGCCCCTCCGGCGCTGCTTCCCGTGAGCCTGGGGATGAGGCTGCCAGGCCACTGCAGTCCTGGTGGGGGGCGGGCAGAGAGGATCGGCAGCGGGCAGCGGGACAAAGCCGCGGAGAAGCAGCGGCCCCAGCCGCTGACGTGAGCTTCAGAAGCGAGCTGCCCAGGAAGCCTGTGTTTTCCTCTCCCGCGAGGAAAGGTCAGAGAGCTACGGCCCCGCAGCCCCAGAGAGCGGCCCAGGGCCGCACTGCCTTCCCTGCCATTCTTCCCCTCTCTCTCCTTTAATAAGAAGGGTGTTCCTTTCCTCAAAGCGGGAGAGAGGGAGGGAGGGAGAAAAGACTGTCAACTGTCCAAAAGGACCGTGAGAAAACAGGAAGCCTTGAAAAGTACAAGAGAAAGCAAGATGAAATCTATTTGCAGGCCGGGCCCCTGGGGACAGACGAGGCATTGTTAAACAGGCAGCGTGTACAGCTATATCCTTCCTTCTGCCCAGGGGAGCTTTGCTGCCAAAAGCCTGCTATCTGGTCCCGGCCTTAACCCCCTCCATGCCAGCTGCAAAGCCTGACTCCCGGCACCCGGCCCCGCCAAGCCCCCCATCTGGTCTCTCGCCTGTCGGAGCCTCAGAAGCTCAAGGAGGAGACGGCAGGAGTCTGGCAGCGGTTTAGGGGACCCCGGTCAGGGAGGGCTCATCCCTCTGCCAAGAGCTCGGCCCTCTGCTGCCGACGGGGCTGCAGATGACCCGGTGATTCACCGCTTAGGCAGCTCCCAGTTTCCCCCAGCTCAAAAGAGAATTTGTCCCGGAAATTCTGGAGGTCTGCTTTTCCTGGACAAGTTTCCCAAAGACAGCAGCTGGCCCTCTGCTGTGCCGGAGTGTGGCCGGCCGCTACCAGGAGGGCATGCACCCTGGGCCCTCGTGTGCTTGTGCCCAATCTGGGAAGCAGGTCTCCGAAAGTCAACTTCAGTCTACAGGCCCGGGACTCTGAAAACTCCAGCAGGCTCCAAGACACAGAGTCTGGAAGTTGAGCTAGAAGGGCAGCCACATATATATAATAAGAACAAAGAAACCAAAGGACTTTTCCTGTCCTCTGATTTTTCACCCTACCATTCCTGCCTAGTTCCACACCGTCTGTGCTTGCTAGGCAGACTGGGGGACAAGACCCGAGAGGACCAGTCCATGTTGCAACAGGAGGAAGGATTTCTGTGAGGAAGAACTTTTAATGGCGAGAATCCCAAGAAATCAGAGTCTGTGACTGAAAGAATTTTCCTGGGTGGGAGTTTTTGGGTAAAGAAGATACAGCTGATTCTTGGGGGTGTGGCTAGAGCAGGCCTGTCAATCGTAGAGAGAGTAACTCTTCCATTACCACGGTAAAAGTCAAGTTCAGTTGTATGGGTCCGTTCTGCACCGTCACCATGCAGCCAGCCAGCCGTTCATCGTGGATGGTCGTGGACTGCACAGCAACCAGCCAATGACTGCCATCCCTCCCAACAACAGGGCCGAATTTCTAAGAATCCAGCACAACATGGGTGAGAAGCAAGGGCCACATGACAGCCCATCCCACAGAGACATCTGGAACTGGCTCACAAACACAACGCACTTTGTTTCATAGTCTGCAAAGTCAGACAAACTCAGAAGGGCTTTTGAAATGAGGACTGGTGGGTGCAAAGCAAAGTGACACTTTGCGGGGAGCTGGGGACAGGGGCAGGAAGAACCTGGCACCTTCCGGGAGACAGAGGCTCTCTGAGTCACCGTGACTAACACTCATTCCTGTTTCAGAAATGGCTAAGAATGGAGGAGACAGACTGCCTGAACTGGACAAAAATGGCCAACTCTTTTTGTCTAAAGATAGATAACACTGTCTGGGTAGCCACCAGACCTACAGTATGGTCTCCTGAGAGTATGCACTTACGCACCAGGAGGAAGTGACCCTTATAGATGACCGCTCCAATTCTACACCAGGCCCAACTTCCATTGTAAAGTGTAGCCTGTGCATCATTCCACGGCCAGCAACCCATGTTATAGAACACCCTTTGATGGGATCTGGTGGTATGGGTCAAGCATCGAAGGTCCAGCCAACCCTCTAAGTCTAGGAAGAGGTGAAATGGAATTTCTGAACCGTGGAGTACCTATCAGCTACCCTCTAAACCCTGTATGGTGCCCCACGATTGGAGTGGAGGAGGAGGGGGCCCAGGTTCAAGATGGGAGGCCTTACACGTCCTGCTAGGAGGCATCACGGGGCCCAGCGTGCCTTGAGCTGGGCAGACTTCTGAGCACTGGTCCCAGAGAGAGCCCTCCAGCTCCTCAGTTACTACCTGGGTCCAGGAAATCTTCCAGGGATTCCGAGGGTAGAGAAGCAGAAGGGACCCTGTGCTCCCAAATCCTGCACAACCTGCGTTGGCTCTGGCCCCTGACCACATCCCCTGCATTTCAGGGACACGTCTGACCTGGGTGCACCCTTCAGGCTGGGCCCGAATAGCAGAGGCAGGGGCAGGAGATAGGTAGGCTACACAGCTGTGGATTGTTAGGGGACTAGGACTATGCTAATGGCTCCCTTCATAGTTAGACAGCCTTACTTCACCACTGGCTGAAAGGATAAGAAAAAATGCAGTTCGTGCTTGCAGTCCAGGAATCCATTCAACAGCAGGAATGAAGAATGGCAGAGATCCTGCCAGGTGTGAAACACTCTGGGGGCCTAGTGCAACGGGAGGAAATCAGAGAGAGAAGGGGTGGGCTGCGGAGCCCGGTGCGTGCCACCACGGTGGGCTCCTAGCTGTGCGGCACGGCTCACAGCTCAGGAGGGTCCTGAGTTCGGCTTAAGCCTCTGCTTTTGCCATCTTAAATGTCTTGTTAACGTTCCAACAAGAAGCTGTGCATCGTGGCATCTCCACTTTGCACTGGCCCCTGAAAACGAAAGCATTCATCCTGCTCGCAGCTTCCTCCTCCCCTCGCTTGACGGACTCCAGATGGACATAAACTGACTTTCAAACCACTGGAAGCTTGAAGAAAAGGAAGGGAAACAGAAGTGGGTGGCAGGAAAGGGCTGGAGGGAGAAGCCTCCCTGTCCCATGTCCAGACAATGCCCACGCGGGTCGAGGGAAGCTCTGGCGTCTGACCCCTCACCCCGCCCCAGAGTTGCCAACACAGGAAAGAAGGCGGCTTCACAGGGGGTTCCTCCGAGTGCGGGGCGCGCTGCGAGCGGTCAAGGCAGGAGCAGCCTGGATGCGGGAACCCAGCGTCCGGGACGTGGAGCAACAGGGGTCGAGCAGGCGCTAACACTGCGTGCACGTGGCGATGTCCCCTTCTCCCTTCTTGGCACTCTGTCCCTGACTGGGATGACACGTGCTGGGACATGCCTTGAATCAGATGCCCAATTGGGAGCAAGAGTCCCCTCATTTGGGAAGCGAAGAAGGGAAACAATGCTGGGGAAGCCTCTGGAAACCTCCAGAAGCCCGAGCGTTTCTGAGTGCCACGCTCAGAGATCTGCAGCTCATGCATTTCCCAGTGGATGGAGTGAAATCCAACAGGGTTAATCCAACACTGAACTTTAACTAAGCCGCAGAATCCCTGTGCCCGCGGTACTGAGGACTAAATAAAGAACTCTCCAGAAAGGACCCAGCTCACTGTGAACCCTCAGTCCAAGCAAGCAGTCCTGAGGTCCGCCAAGGAGCTGGTTTCAGAGTCCCTGGACCCACGCTGGGAGGCCGGTCCTCAAATTATATCTCAGCCCAACTGTCAGGAGGCAGCTGTTCTAGAAGCTTCCTGACGCCTTCCTCTGTTTGACTCATTGTCTTGTGACAGGAAGAAGGCAACAACTGGTGTCCCCCATCTAGAACAAGGGTCTTCCACAAGCCCCTCCACCCTCTAACAACCTCATTCCCCATGTGCATCTCCCACCCCTCCTGCCTGCCTGCACCCCTGGGCACAGCGGGACAGGCAGGGCAGACTCCTCACAGACGCCCAGAGCTGCGGCAAGCCTTGATGGGGTGGACCAAGGGACAGAGCAGCAGAAGGGAGCTGGGGCTGGCCACGGATCTTCTCTGAGCCTCTGTGACGCCACTGATGAGATGGGGTTGGAGCTCCCCGGAGTGCCTTCCCCGCCAGGCATGTGCACAGCCCCCGCCCCACCTCCCGGGGCCCACCTTGCACTTGAACGGCTTCACGTCGGAGTGGACGATCATGTGCGCCTTGAGGGTCTGCTTCTGCACGAAGCTCTTGTAGCAGAGGTGGCACTGGTAGGCGCGGATGTTGGTGTGGATCAGCACGTGTCTCTTCATGTTGGCCAACAGGGTGAACTCCCGCCCGCAGATGCCACACTTGTGCTCCTTCACGCCCTGCACAGAGGCGAGATTCCAAAAAGCAGCAGTTAGCCAGCTGCGCGCTCTCAGGAGAGCCAGACGTCAGCACTCTCCCAGCCACAGGAGCCCAGTCACAAAGAGCCAAGTGCCAAATGACGTGGCTTCAGCCCTGTGAAACCACTATTTTCCTTTCTTTAAGAGGTGTTCATTTATTTGAAAGTCAGAGTTACAGAGAGAGGGAGGGAGGGGAAGAGAGAAAGTAAAAGACTGAAAGAGAGAGAGAGAGAGAGAGAGATCTTCCATCCACTGTTTCACTCCCCAAGTGGCTGCAAAGGATAGGGCAAAGCCAGGCAGAAGCGAGGAGCCAGGAGCTTCTTCTGAGTCTTCCACGTGGGTGGTGGGGACCGTCTCCCATCGCTTTCCCGGGCCATTAGCAGGGAGCTGGATTGGAAGTGGAAGCAGCTAGGACTTGAACTGGCACCCATATGGGATGCCAGCATTGCAGGATGTGGCTTTACCTACTACACCACAATGCTGGCCCCCAAAGTCACCATCTTCTTGAAGAGTGTTGATTATGTAGTCTTTTATTTCTGCTGCAGACTATAAACTAGCTGGGCCACAGCAGGAAAAGAAAGCTCTAGCTTTTGTTGTTTTCTCTGCTGCTGATGCTGATGCTGGGGTTAATTCTACAGTAACAGTTCTCAGGGCTCAACAGGATTTGGGTAAGAGCATTCTAGAATGGTACGCAAAATAAATCTATAATCCAGCTTGCATGCTGATGAAAAAACATCATTTAGACTGGTATTATCATTTCCCATAGGAGAGCCAGCATCCTTCTGAGTTCTCCTAAGTGAACTTGAACATCCCAGAAGAAAAACTCTCATGTGCACCCCAATCAGCACTTGGCAGTCACCCTCTCCAGTTGGGTCCCCTGGGTTCCCTCAGCTCAGTCTGGGCTATGTGTCACGGGGGTCTGGAGCTGCTGGAAGGCAGGTACTTCCGACACAGACATTCTGCAGGGGTGGGTTTCTGAATTAGGAAAGAGGACAGGAGGTTTTCTGGTGTCCTTGCTGCTTGTGGAGAAACGTTTGCACACTCAAGCAACTGAGAGGATTTCTAGGACTTCTGGCTTGGGGAGAACATGAGCTCATTCTGACTAGCCATCACTGCTTCCACGCAAAGCCCTTTGCAAGAGACCTTGACCTAGAATGACTTCTGGGGAAGAAAAGTTAGAGAACCACAGTGCTGAAGTGAAGGCTATTGTGGGACTAGAACAAATCACTTAGTTAACACTGCACCTTGTAAAATCCATTTGCCTTGACTTATTAGTGGCCTATGGAGGGAAAGATCCCAAGCTCAGTTCTTTCTCTCTCTCTCTCTCTCTCTCTCTCTCTCTCTCTCTCTCATAGAGAAGCAGAGTGAGACAGACATAAAGAAGAATAGCAAGGAACTCAATCTGGCTCTCCATGAGGGTGGCAGAAACCCCACTACTTGAGCCATCACCTGCTTGCTCCTTGGGGTCTACGTTAGCAAGAAACTGGAAGTGGGAGCCAAAGCCAGTGACTCTCAGCCAGGCACCCCCAACATAGGCTGCAAGTGTACTAACCAGCAGCTTAACTGCTAAGCCAAACACCCATCTCTCAAGCTCAGTTCTTGTGTTTTTAAGAATTACTTATTTGAAAGAGTGATAGAAAGAGAGAGAAATATGACGGAGACAGAGAAAGATTTCCATTCACTGGTTCACTCCCCAGTTGCCCAAATAGCCACAACAGCCAGGGCTGTGCCAAGTTGAAGCCAGAAGACAGAAACGCCACCACCTGGGTCTCCCACATGGGTAGCAGGGGACCCAAGTACTTGAGCCATCTTTTGCTGCATGCCCCGGGGACATTAGCAGGAAGCTGTTTCAGAAGCGGAGAGGCCAGGACTTGAACTTGAACCACTATGCAACACCAGCCCCTTTCAGGCTCAGTTGTGCTTGCTGGTACTTTCATTTCTCTACCTGGAGCGCACTAAGAAAGTACTGCCCCTCAGTTTCTCTGGGCCCATGGCACTAATCCAGCTCCCTGCCCAGCCATTTACCGGCTGCAAAACCTTAGATAACCCCAGTGTCCTTTCCTGGTGAAATTTCTCTTTTCAAGATGAAGCGCTGGGCGATGAGAAGCCTGCGGTTCTTTGCAGCTCAAAGACTCTCAAGATGATTGCAGACAAGGATGGATTTATGCTAATAAACCCATCATGGGATGAAGCTCCTTTAAAAATTAAATTGTAATGCTCTCCTTGAGAAGATGAATTTTTAAAATGTGTTGCATATTCAAACAGTGAGTTAAGAAGCTTGAAATCAGTGAAAGAGGTATGTTTTCCTGATGAGTTCTAAACTTCAGCATCTTTTCTTAAGATTTTCTCTGGGCTTAGCTATAATTCCATTGTTCTGGGGCCAAGGAGAAATCTCTACCTCTCAGTGTTTCCAGACTTCTTTAAGGAGGATCTGTGTTCCAAGTACAGTTCACCTTCAGGCTGGCCTGGCTGGCAACAGGCTGGGAGCTTGGCTACACATTTGGGGCAATGAAGGAAGGTGCCGTCCTCTGGTAAGAGGAGCAACGTCACAGAGGAGCCTGTGGGCGTGGTCAGGAGTGAAGGGAGGGGCGAGAGTGGGGGTGAAGTGGGGGAGTCCTGCTGGGAGGGTGTGCAAGGATTCCGGGTGGGCTCCCCAGGCCTTGGTGTCGTCATCCACCTGCAGGGAGTGGCTCTTAGGGTCACTGCATTAAAAGCACCTGCTTTAGAGCAAGTGTCCTGTCCACACCGCCTCTCACTGTTCTTGACACCTCCGTTACAGTGCGTTTGCTTTCCTCTTTCAAATGACACTTTTCTCAGAATCCAGACTGGCACTCCCATTTTGACTTCATTTTCCACTATCTTCCAGAATCCGTAGGACTGCTCTTCCTCATAGACAGAAACCCTGGAAGTAAGTGAACAGTCCGTTTGTGGCTGAGTCTCAGGCCGGGCCCATTGTTGGCGGATCCTGCACTTGGTAGGCGGCTCCCCTCTGATGGTATCTCCAGGTGCCTTTTGTGCAGCAGGATCGGTTTGTCCAAGCCCACAAGGCAGCCAACATTTCATCGCTGCTGCAGAGCCAGAAAATGCCCCGTGTTTTGTCCTAACTTAACAAATGAAAGCCATTATAGCAGAGCAGAAACATTATCTGGGCTGGGCAAAGTCCTCCGTTGACCTTTTAGAATTAAAGAATGTTTTAGAAACTCTGGCTTGCCATCAACTCTTTCCTGCCAAGAAAACCACTTGAGGTTAAGGATATGAGAGTGCAGGTCAGTGGGGCAAAACTTGGTTCTTGGAAGCTTGAAGCAAACTCAAGGTAGCTTAGCTGGGCTAAGATTTCAGGGATATCTCTAGGAGCCTGGTTTTAGTGGTGCCTGGATGACTTCAGAGCTTTGGTTGCAGACTCGGATGGATTTAGCTGTTTGGGCCAGTATTTTTCCTTGAAGGCATGAGCCCATGGAAGATAAAACTGAACCAAAGGACTGGCGCTGGAGTGCATCAGGTTAAACCACAGCCTGTGGCACTGGCATCCCATAGGGACGCCAGTTCGAGTCCCGGCTGCTCCACCTCTGATCCAGCTCCCTGCTAACGCACCTGGAAAGCAGCAGAGGATGGCCCAAGTCTTTGGGCTCCTGTACCCACACAGAAGGCCTGGAAGAAGCTCCTGGCTCCTTGCTTCAGCCTGGCACAGCCCCAATTATTTGAAGCCATTTGGGGAGTGAATCAGCAGATGGAAGATCTTTCTTTCTCTGTCTCTCTTTCTCTCTCTATAACTCTGCTTACAAATAAATAAATAAATCTTTAAAAACAACAACCAAACCAGACACAGAAAGGTGCTTTCGCGTGCCTCCTACAATACAGACCACTGGACATGAAGCCAACTACGCAGGCACTCAACCCCCCGGGAAGCACAGGGCCCTGCTGGACTGGGCCAAGCTCTGCTCCTGCCGAGCCACCTGCATAACCTCTCACAGTTGAAGGAGAAAACAACTCCAAGGTGGCCACTGCTTCAGCAGCAACGGATCAAGAAAATCCTCCAGAGGACTCTTAGTGGTGTGATTCAGGCTCAGAGGTGATCTAGGGCCCAATGACACACTCACGCACCTGGATAAAGTTTCTAGAAACAAAATTCTAGGGATTTTGGGGGGCTGAGAAGCAGCAGCACAAGCAGCTGCTTCCTTCATCCTTCCTCGCACTCCCCGAATGTCTGCATTGCTTTTTTCCAGACTGTCTTGACCCTGGATGGCTAGCCGGGGAAAGGCTTTGATGGATGGTCTAGTCGCCTCCTGTTTGTACAGGAAGACCTCAGGGCTCAGGTTATGCAGTGTTCCTCCTTCAGATGTGGGGAGCAGGGGCTGGCCCTGTGGCATTGTGGGCAAAGCTGCCGCCTGCAGCAACGGCATCCCCTATGGGCACCAGTTCGAGTCCAGGCTGCTCCACTACCAACTCAGCTCTCTGCTCTGGCCTGGGAAAACAGCAGAGAAAGGCCCAAGTGCTTGAACCCCTGCACCCATGTGGGAGACGGGATGAAGCTCCTGGTTCTTGGCTTCAGCCTGGCCCAGCCTCAGCTGTGGTGGACATTTGGGGAGTGAACCAGTGGATGGAAGACCTTTATCTATGTCTCTTCCTCTGTCTCTCTAATTCTGACTTTCAAATAAATAAATCTTAAAAAAAAAGGAGAAGAAGAAGGAGGAGGAGGGGAAGAAGAAAGAATTAAAGAAGAGAAAAAGAGGAGGAAGAAGAGGAGGAAGGAGGAGCAGAAGGAGGAGGAGGGGAAGAAGAAGAAAGAAGAGTTAAAGAGGAAGAAGAGGATGGAAGAGGAGGAGGAGGAGGGGGGGGAGGAGGAAAGAGGGAGGAGGAGGAGGGGGAGGAGGAGGAGGAGCCGGAGCCTCTCCCTAGGCCCAGGGCTCTAGATCAGCTCGCCAAGGCCCAGCTAGCCCCGCCCCCGCGAGCCCCGCCCCCGCGGAGCCCCGCCCCCCGCGCCGCACCTTGTGGGTGAGCGAGTGCTGCTTGAGGTGGTGGGGCTGCACGAACTCCATGCCGCACTCGGAGCAGATGTAGGGCCGGATGTCCTTGTGCTTCATCATGTGGTTCTGCAGCTGGCTCGGGTACTGGAAGGTCTTGTCGCACTCGGAGCAGCTGTACTGGATGGGGCCGCGGTGCGTGGTGAGGTGGCGCTTCAGCTGCGCCAGCGTGGGGAAGTCGAGGCCGCACTCCACGCAGATGTTCTCGCGCCCGCTGGCGTGCTTGGCCTCGTGGGCCTTGAGCTCGCTGGGGTAGGCGAAGCCGCGGCCGCACACGCGGCAGTTGTGCGGCTTCACCTCGCTGTGCTGCATCATGTGGCGCTTCAGGTGGCTGGTCTGCGTGAAGGCCTTGTGGCACACCTGGCACTTGTGGGGCCGCGTGCCCTGGTGCGTGAGCATGTGTGTATGCAGGTGGCTGAGCTGCTTGAAGAGCTTCCCGCAGCGGGCGCACGCGTGCGGCTTGATGCCGCTGTGGCCCAGGATGTGCGTCACCAGGTTGTACTTGGACGTGTAGGACTTCTCGCAGGTGGGGCACTGCCAGCGCTTCTGAGCCCCGCCCACGTCCACGTAGTAGCTGTCGTCCACCTGCACGTTCACGTCCACCCTCTCCACCTTCTGCTTGGTGCCCTCGCTTTCGGGGGGCTCGGCCTCGCGCGGAGCGCGCGGTTCCGGGGGCTGCTTGGGCAGGAAGGCGTGCCGGCTGAAGGCGAAGGGCGAGGACGAGGGCACGAAGAAGGGGAACACGAGGCCCGGGTGCACTTTGGGGTAGTAGGGGTAGGGCGCGGGCAGGAAGGCGGGAGGTGCGGGCTGGGGCCACACGGCGCTGGGCTTCACCGGCTCTTGCTTTACGGGCTTGGCGCCCAGGTGCTCCAGGCTGCGGTAGAACTGGAAGCCCACGTTGCACAGGTCGATCATCTGCGAGTCGTACTTGGGGCGCGGGGGCTGCGCCAACAGCAGCGGGAGCGGTGGCGGGGGGCCGTGGCTTTTGCCCGGGTCGTGGCGGAGGGCAGCGGTGACTTCCTGCGCGGGATGTGAGTAGGGCATCTTGGTGGGCATGCTCTTGCGTTTGCGGGACCCGCCTCCTTCGAAGGCCTCCGGGAACCCGTCCAGGTGCCCTGGAGGAGGCTCATACCGAAACTGGGAGAAGGGCCCCCGGAGCGACTCCGGGAAGGGGTGCCTCTGGGGCGCTTTGCCGCGGGAAGCCGCGGGCTGCAGGCGGTGGGCAAAGGAGGGGGCCCTCTTCGCACCCAAGGTGAAATGCATGGCCTCATCTTTGATCATCTTCACTTCCTTCTGCATCCTTGACAGTTTTCCTTTAAAGAGAAAAAAACGCATTGTGTGCGTGGGTTTGGTTTGGAATTCTTGTTTCCGGTAAGGATTTTGCTACCGATCAGTGGGACCCTCGTTTACCCCAGGTCTGCTCCCAATTCCACTCTCCTTTCTTGCTGCACACCCTGTTGCGGCTGTGGGAAGCCCCTGGGAGCGGGACTCCAGGGCTGGGTCAAGTTGGGCTCCAGGGTAAACCCAGTTCCGAACCTCAGGCGCATGGGAGGACCCCTGAGAACTCACCTTGCCACTGTCCCCATTTAAGGATGAAGAAACCAAGGCCCAGAGGTGAAGTGGCAAGCTCGAATCACACAGCTGCCCCCCAGGGGAGGAGCCGGAGCTGGCACACATCTGCAGCGTGCTCTAAGATGTAATTCCAGCTCCTAGAAATGGCTTTACAGGGTCTGTTGGATAGTTATGTAGGGGACTGATTTTCTCCACCATGCCCTTCCATAGGTCTTTGCTGCTGGGGCATGAGGATATTCAACACGTGACTGTCTGATCTGCTTTTCCCTGCGTGCCCTAGGTGGGTACTAGGTGGCTGTACCCTAGGTGGGCACAGCCAGGAAGGCCACTGGGATGCTTTGGGTGGATGAGATCAGTGTGAGAACCACCCAATGGGCCACCCAATGTTATAAAGTCATCCTGACCACTTATGCATCATTGTCTTCAACCTGAAGCCAACTGGCAGGTGTGTGTGGGAGTGGGGAGTGGAAATACTAAAGCTTCAACCTCTAAAACTGCACTTCAGAGGTGACCAAGGGCAGCCTCTGGTGACCCCTAGGCTGCCTGGCAGTTCTCCTGGTGAACCATGAGGTCTGTGAAGGAGCCTGGGGGGCCAGCAGCTGAGCCCCCAGCTGCCCTTCCTTTCAAAGTCTCCTTGCCATTTTTCTGTCTCCTTCGTGGGTGCTGAGGGAGTGACCGAGTGGCAGACTGCACATTGCCAGCGAGGGTCTTTTCTACCCACGTCCTCTAAGTTTGAACAGGATTGACCTTCTTTGCTCATAGAGTTACAGTGGGTATGGACCTGGCTCAATAATTTGTTGCATCCATAAAAATAGGTGGCTTTTAGGTGCAGCTCAGTGTGTCCCATTGAATTGGAGGGGAAAATGGCAGGTCCTTTCTCTGTGATTTCATTTTAGCCACAGTTGGTTTTAAAAAACCCCTTTGGAGATAAATTCCTTTTTCGAAAAAAAAAAAAATTGGGTATTTGGACTGTAAAAGACCCAGGCAGCTATAGGTGCTCATGGCAAACAATAGCAGAGCCCATATAAAGCAAACTGATTCTCTCTGTTTTATTCTGATCTAATTAGAAGAGGCAATCACTCCTGGTTCACATTGGAAGGCTTGGTTTGAGAACTAGCGGAAGAGACGCATCAGAACCAGGGCCAGAGCTTGTGAGTTCCTTTGGTATTTCATTGTTAAGAAGGGAGCTGAAGGCACCAGCATTGTGGTGCAGCCGGTGGCATCACTGCCGACCGCCCCAGCCTCCTGTATCAGAGTGCAGGTTCAAGTCCCGACTGCTCCTCTTCCCAGTCAGCTACCTACTGATGCGCCTGGGAAAGCAGCAGAAGATGTTCTAAGTATATGGGCCCCTGCCACCCACATGAGAAACCCAGATGGAGTTCCTGGTTCTTGGCTTCAGCCTGGCTCAGCCCCTGGCTGTTGCATCCACTAGGGGAGTAAACCAGTGACTGGAAGACCTCTCTCTCTCTCTCTCTCTCCCCTTCTCTCTGTTTCTCCCCCCTTTCTCTCTGTCACTCTGCGTGTCAATAAATACATCTTAAAAAAAACAGCCAAAGTCAACACACACACAACAGAAAGGGTACTTGAAAATGCATGGCTAAAGATATATGCTATCTATACCATTCCTGTATCTTATCCTGGAAAGCTAGACTTAGGAAGAAAAGTTACCACTAGTTCTAAAACTGAAGATGTTTATTTTTGTTATTGCCTTCCTATACTATTTTTGCTTTTAGTTATGATACAAACAATTCATTGTCACCTTAATATATTAGAAATCATATTCCTAATGTAATGCTAGTCTCAAAGGCATATTTATTTTCACTGTTTGCATTTTGTTCTAATCACCATTGACCTAGTAAAGCAAAGAGACTGTTGAACAGAGATGATATGGTTTTTAGACATAAGTGGCACAATTATGTCTCCAAATGCAGAGTTTCCATATGTGCATTTTCATTCCCTCCCTATTTTAATGTCATAAACTGAATTTTCGGTAGTTTCTGTCTTCTGTGTATGATGATTCTCTCAGTCCTAAAATAGTAGTCTTTATGTCCTCAGGTACAATCTGTAACTCGGGAGGTGTAAGGCGCGTTGGAATCTATCACTGGACATTTGGCCAGACCTTTCAAACCGCATTGCCTTCCGCATGGAGCCTCGGGGCTCGTGGCCAATGCCATCAAGGAGAAGCAGATCGGCTTTCGCCTTGGCCTCCTTGGAGAGAAGTCAGCTGTGGCTGCTGCTAGTTATTAATATCCCTGTCTTTGAGCACCCGGGTGATAAGGAGAAGCCCTTGGGGATACAACAACAGCAAAACCCAGAGGGCAAACCTCCACTGCGCTGGGCATGCCGAAGGGAAGACCAGGGAGAGGGTGTCTTCCTCAAGAGGCCAACCGGTCTTGAAAGCAGCCATGTAAGAACTTGGGGTGTCCTCGGCAGGACTCCTCGGAAACTTCAGTCTGGCCCACCCACATGCTGCCTTCTGTTTCTAAAAATGGAACCCCAGGCATCCAGGACAGCTACAGGGTCTCTCTACACAGGAGGCAGGAGAGGCTGGGGGACAGCAGTCCAGTGGGGGGAACCACATCCTGAGCAGACAGGACGTGCAGGTGGAAGGGGGGGCGGCTACACGCCCTCCCCAACTCAGGCCAGAGTCCCTGGGCAAACAGGCCAGGTTGCAAGGCAGCTCCCCACCAGGACATATTGAAACCACATGCCAAGAGAAAGAACTGGAATTTTTAAAAGCAGAGCATTGCGGGAGAGCCTAAGGGGCACTGGTTTGGAGCCTGAAGACCTGGCTTTGAATTCTGGCTTTGTTTTTAGCAACTATAGAGATTGAGCAAATTAATCTTGCAGTTTGATTTGCTCTTCCATGAAAAGGGAGCGAGGGTACCCCTTTTGGGTTACTGGAGACTCAAAACAGAGTGTGTCTGAGCAAGGGTATTTAGCACAAGCCAGTGTGGCACTGGAGGGGAAGAGCAAGTGGGCAGGAGAGGAGGGCTGAGGCCGTGATCGGTGGGTTGATGTTTCAAAGCGGAAGCCCTTGTTCGCCACTGCCTGGCATCTGGGCTTTGCACATTCACAAACAAGGCTTCGCCTGCTTGCTCCGAGGGGCTTTGTCACAGCAGGGAAAGTGAACCATACTCAGAGAGGATGATAGATAGAGTGAGGGTGAGTTCATCTGTGCAGTGGAGACAAGCCCTCCCCTTCCCCTCCCTCTCCCCCTCCCCATGGCAGGCATCCTTTCCTGTGACAGCCGCCCCGCCCACCTGCATCAGGAATAGACTGCAAAGAGAAGGAACTGAGCCGGCCTTGTCTAGAGCCACTCCAGCCAGTGTACAACTCCCTGAGGAATTGCTCCTGGTCTATCGTCAGAGGGCACCTGCCTAGGGGCAAGACGACCTGCTGGTCAAACCCAGAGTCTTGGGCCCTGGGACTGTGCTGAGTCTACACCGGCAAACCAGCTCTGGCAATGCTGGCGGCACTGTGAGGACAGAAAACTGTGCTCTCTTTACCTCACTGCTGCGTCTCCAGTCCCCCGCAGGGTACCTGGCTCAAAGTAGATGCTCAGTTAACTTCTTTGGGATGAAAGAATGGTTCTTGTGTTTGAAGCCTCTGCATGCAACTTCCAAAGGCATGATTTTTTTTTCTTACACAGTTTAGACCATGAGTGATACGTGCTGTCACTGACAAGTACACAGGAGGCTGCTCTGCTAAGAACTCAAGACCATACCTTGTGTGAGCTGCGGCTTACCCTCTTCAGTTTCTAAGGTACCAGTCTCCGAACTGACTCGCGTTCAGGGAAAGCCCTAAATCCTGGCTCCACGGATGCTGGAGAGCCCTTCTCAAAGTGCCACAAGGTTCTGCAAGCCCCAGAAAACAGATTCCTGAACAGTCCCAGGGGCCGCGGGGGATGGGAAGAAAGGCTCCTGGATTGAAAAGGGGAAATGTAAATGGAGGGGGAGTTGGGAAAGCAGCAGGTGCCACCCCCAGCAGGGGCAGAACCGAGGGGAGTGAGGGGGGGGGACATTAGCATAATCCCACTTTTCATTGCTGGGGTCAATGTTCTAAGACTCGGCTTTCTCTGATGTGCGTTCCATCACCAAAGCCAACAGACAATGAATCAGGAAACAACATTGATGCATGTGAAAGAACATATAAGGCTATCTTCCTTAACAGACATAAAGCACTGCCGTAGACATTGTGGCACAGCAGGTATCCCACACAGGTACTGGCTCAAGATCTGGCTGCTCCACTTCCTATCCAGCTCCCTGCTAATGCGCCTGGGAAAGCAGTGCAAGATGGCCAAGGTCTTGGGCCCCTGCACCCATGTGGGAGACCCGGAAGAAGCTCCTGGCTCCTGGCTTCTTCCTGGCCCATCCCTCTTTGTTGTAGGCATTGGGGAGTGAACCAGCAGATGGAAGATCAATGGATCTCTCTCTCTCTCTGTAACTCTTTCAAATAAATAAATAAATCTTTTTAAATAAAAGATACTCTCCATCAGAGTTAGATGTGAGGAAATAGGAACAAAGTGGATTTTAAAAGAAAACAAACTCCTCTTTGAACGCTCAGGACCAACTAGAAATGCAAAAGCTAACTAGGATGAAACCACCTTTAGTTAGGGAGAAAAACTTTCTAATTGGGAATTCACCTAGCGCACCAACATGTACGCGTTCCACAGATAGTTACTGGCGTTCGGTGGTTGTCACTCGAATGGACAAGCATGCCAGTGAATGCTGGCACCCGG